GAAATAGAATCAGTAACTAGTGGAGAAAGGTTTAATGCTAGAGAAAAACACAGGGAAAAAATATAGTAAGAGCTTCAGCCAATGGTGTGGAATACAATAGGCAATTAAAGAAGGTAGTTTGGTGATTTTAATGGACCTATCTAATTGGTTCCGAAGAAATGTTAGATAACGCATTCGGTCAATTGATGGATAAAGGCGAGTATTACGATAAGAGAAGCAACCTAAGGTAATTTCCCCCTCCATAACTAAAACGAGGCTGAAGCTATTTTAGAATTATAACCCCTGTGCTCAGGAGAGATTCGCTTATAGCATTCTAAGATTATTTCTCTTCCAAGTAATTGGTAATTTACTACTGAGGCCAACCTCGCGTTAGAGGTCTCTCTGCCTAAATGTAAAAGATTAAGTTCAGAAATTAGCTATTTTAAAATGAGTTTCTTAAAAAATGGCCCCCAATTTTGGAATTCTTCTTCGTATGCCAAACCTAAGATATATTTACCTCGAATTAGTGAATTGATGCCTAATCGATTTATGAAAATATTGTCGAGATCCTCGGAGCCAGTAAATAGTTCAGCTACTATGTATAAATTGGGTCGAATGGACCTCGCTTTGTCCAGCATGTATTGGGCCACGTGAAGAGGAGTACTGTGACAGTTATCAAGACGAACGGCATGGAAGATGCGGGCCGTTAATTCAGCATAGGTAGTCATCCTGTTCCATAGATAAGGACAATCAGCTGGAGACTGCCCATAGCTGAGGGATAAGAAAATGAAATACCAACAAGAACGATGTATTCTACAAACAGTTTAAGCAGTAAGCTAGTGAGCAGTGAGATAAATTTGGTAATGAGACACTACCGGATGGTGGCAGTTAAAGAGAGAATTCGACCTTAGAAGATAGAAACACGTTATATACTCAAGTTTGCCTCCTTTGGGTAGCTAAGAATAATGTGAACTTTGAAAATGTTGTAGCCACATGTGGGATTAATGTAATGATTAGTATGGGCTAGTTTGCTGAGAAAAGACATAAAGTATGCCATTCATGGATTGACCTCGGGTCCATGATCCATTAGCTCATGGAGATCACTCTTGCCATTTAGCAAGACAGGACATTCAAATCGAACCGAATAAATTATTTAGGTCAAATAAAGTGTTCGTATTTACATTACAATATATCTTTTCATGGTTTTATTGCAGCCTGTTAAGGTCCAGGATTCGTCCTTACCATCACTGTATAAAGAAATCATTCACAGTAATGCTGCCAAAAAATGAGATAATCATAAGAAAAAGATAAAAAGGCCAAAGTAATTTTGAGAGTTCCATTAAGAGGCGGTAGACGAAGTTTGCGTGATCTGGGAATAATAGAAGTCACAAAGGCATTCACCTAGCAAGTTTAG